GAATGTTTCTGCACAACAGTCTGCACGTCGAGTCTTGGACCTACCGAAGATGTTCCTGCCACCGCTGCCCACCAAGTTAAAGGGTGACCCCAACAGCAAACGGTCGAGGAAGAAATTGGAGTTGGAGCGGCGACGGCAGCCACGAGCTCTGGACCACCCGGAGGATCTCGAGCAAGAACTTCCTGAACCCGAGTCTGAAGACGAGGAGTCCTTGGCGCAACCTCAGCAGGCCAGCTCGTGCACGAAATACCCAGAGGAGGCTCGCAAGTTTCTACATCGAGATTTTTTCGACTTCGACTCCGAGGCGCTTCAGCAGATGTGGCAGTCGCATATTTATGACCACAAGACTTCCGAGGTCAAGCCTGTAGCTCAGGACTGCCACCCAGCCAAGTATTTAGAGTGGATGGTTGAAGATCTGGATAAGCTTTGGGCCACCATTGACAACAACACTCTCCAGCACTGTGAGTGGACCCTACCGCCAGATTGGATACAAGACAGCCTCTCGTATAAGTATGATCCCGAGACTGCCATCGAGCTGGGATCAGACTACGGAAGATTTACGTCAGTTTTTGAGAATTTTCTGTGTCGTGTACTTGAGGTACCACCAGATCGAGCTTGGCATTACAAAGGTCGTGGAGTTGCGAGGGAATTTAAAACTTTGCCGATTTCAGCGCCCGCGCCAACAAGAGCGCATTCAGATATGTCAATCAAGTGGTGGCTGCAAGTTTCTGGTTGGATTCAGGAGCTTATTCGAGTCTCTGCCAGTGGAACCCAGCAGCACGTCGAGGAGTTCTCTACTGCAGCAGGTGGTGACTCCTCCCCTCCTCCCCCCGTTTTGCTCAGCCCAGTCTCGAAAAAAACAAGTCAGGACAGCGTCGAGAAAAGACTTCTTGGTGCATAGGTTGGCACAGGCTCCTGCTGACATGCCACTTTCAGGTTTCGGCCAGGTAATAGGTGGAGATCGGCAGGACTGGGCCAGTACACTTCTTAACATTCACAATCTACCGAGAGAAGCTCTCATTGCGATGGGAGCATCAGCGGATAAGATCGCAGCAGCCCTGGAGCGTAAGGCGGCCAAGGAGAGTTACAGCGCTTTTCAATCGTGGATTCGAGATTCTTTTGCTCAAGGCTGTGGGAAGTTACATCGGTACGCTAAGCCCAAGACGCGTGTTGAGACAGAGTACCGCGACCTGAAAGGAAGTTCCACGAGCCTCAAGGATATTTTGGTCCAGAAGAGTCAGCTTTGGCAACGCAAGTGGGCTTCCAAAAGTTTGTCCGTGCAAAGGCTGTTTCAACTCCTTCGACGGGCTCACGCTAAGGCAGCAGCACAACCCTGGCCAGCTCTGGAGCCTGAGCAGATCGCCATCACAGTCAAGCGGATCAACTCCAGCAAGGCCGCAGGCATCGAGCAGCTGGGCGGTACCCTCAAGTATTTACCTCCAGCTGGCATTGCTCACTTGACGGGTTTTTTGAATGAATGCGAACGACGAGGAGGCTGGCCTTGGCAGATTCAGACTGCTATTGTTGCTCTTTTGAGGAAAGGCGCTGACACTGATCGTTCAATTGGTCAGATCCCAGATTTGATACGCTTGTGGAGTTCAGCCAGACAGATTTTTCCTTCTGAATGGGTCGAGCAGATGGCTGGCAAGTGGGACAATGCGATCAGAGGCTCTTCTTGCTTGCGTGTTGGACTTTTACGAGCCTTCTCTGACGAAGCCATCAGCATGGGGCCCAAGCACACCGTCTCGGCTAGTCTCCTGTGGGACATCGACAGCTTCTACGACTCGTTAGAGTACGAGCGCCTGTTCGAGCAGGGCTTGGCCCTGGATTTTCCGCCTTTGATGTTGCTGATGGAAGGGCTGGCTCATCTCATAGTTAGAGTTTTTCGTGAAGCAGGGTGCTTTTCACCACCAGTCCAGGCCAACAAGTCCATCATCGCAGGAGCTCGTAGAGGGGTCGATTTTGGAAGATTTTATCTCTACAGTATCCTTGAAGCTGTTTACAATAAATACTCACCGTCGGTCAGCACGTCGTCTTGGGTTGATGATATCACTCAGTATGCGTATGGGTCCGTCAGGTTCCTCTCCCAGGCGCTCACCAAGGCCGGGGTTCTCTTGGGCAGGCTCTGCAGCAAGGCGCACTTGAGTATCGCTAGCAAGAGCAAGATCATCGCGGGGGACCCTGAATTAGCAAAGGACATTGCGCGCAAGTTGGCACAGCACAACATTAAGATCACTGTAGCACAGAAAGCAGTCGATTTAGGCACTGACAGAGGCACGAACATGCGAGCACGACCTAAAGCAGCAGCACGTCGCAAAGCAGCATGGAAGCAAGTAGGCCGAGCTCGGAAGCTTATTGGAGCAGGCAGAACAGGCAGAGCAGCAGCACGGCGCGTTATACATCGAGGATGTTATGCAAAAGTTCAGTATGATGCAGCTGTGTACGGTATGAGCCCTTCTGCAGTGCAGGCTTGGCGCAGAGCTATAGGAGGCACTTTCACTCTGTCGGTCCGTGGCCGGTGCCTCGACACTCTTTTACAGCTGGAGCTTGGAGATCAAGATCCAGCAATCTCGCAGGTATTTAAGATGCTCGACAGCTGGATGGCCATTCTTGCGTCAGGAGCTGAAGCACGAGCTTTTGCAGCACGAGATTGGTCGCAGCACGTGGCTAAGGCTAGAGAGATTCCTAAGCATCGATGGCGCAGAATCACAGGCCCCACCAGAGCTGTAGTAAATACCCTTCTGGACATCAACTGGGACCCCATTGGACCTTGGCATTGGGTTTCTGATCTTGGGAACGTCTATCAGGCTACTCCAGAGGTCCTTGAAGCAGGTCCACTAGATCTAGATGATATCCGCCAAGACCTAGCCGATTCAGTTCGTCGGGTTCTTTGGAAGCGAGCAGCAAAACATTATGAGAGCGCTGATGTTGCTAACGGAGTAGACCTAACTGATGTACGACAGCAGCTACGACGAGCTAGAGATAAAGACCAGCTTAAGTGAGCAGGAGCTTTAGTCAACGTCTGCTGTGGTGGTCAGTGGGCTAGGGAGAGAATTCAAAGCATCATCAACCCGCCTGACTTTTCTGTTCTTTGTGATCGCTGTGATGGTGGACGACCAGAGTCTACCTTCCACCGAATTTGGGAATGTTCCGCGAACGACGCCTTGCCCTCGACCACCAGCATCGAGGCTTTTGTGCACCGTGCTCGCACCCAGGTGGATTCACAGCCGTCAGTGTGGCTACGAGGCCTCACTCCTTCTTCGTGGACACAAGTTTCGCAGCCGCCCGACGAGGCTGACATTTTTGTGCACAGCCACGGCTTCTTTCCCGACGGCACAGACCTGATCGTCGGCGCAGGTGATGCCTCAGGGGGTAAATACTCGGATCAGGCCAGATTCAGAAGAGTGTATTGGGCTTATGTCGTCTTCGAGGAGTTCGATCTAGCGAACCCAGCTCCGTCCCTGGCCTTGTCAAGGGTGTCCTCGGGAGCCACTTGGGGACCCCAGACCATCAATCATGGCGAGATGATAGCGCTCTTGAGGTTCCTGGAGGAGGCCCCTGTGGGCCGACCACTCGTCTTCGTCACGGACTCGTCGTATGCCCAGAAAAACGTCAATAAGGTCCTCTTGGATTTCTCCCCTACTGGATTTAGGAACGAGTGGCGTCGAATTCAGCGGCTTCTTCAAGAGAAGCCGACCAGCATCATCAAGATCGAGTCGCACATGACTCCCGAGCAGGCGGCAGAGAAAAAGGAGCTTGTTTTTGCGTGGGTTGGGAACAAGGCAGCTGATGAGTTGGCCGAGCACACGGCCAAGAACATACAGCTGCAGGCGGGGGAGGTGGAGGCGGTCCAGGTTTCTGAGGCCTTGACGCGTGCTGTGAGAATTCGGGCTTGCGAAGTTTTCCTCTCGAGATTTTCGGAGGCCTCTGGAGACAATCCCCAGGCCCCTAGAGCTCGCAAGAAAGCCAAAGCCAAGCCGAAACCAGCCGTCCCTCTTCCTCCTCCTCGAGCCTTCAACCCTCGCCCCAAGTTAGCCAAGCAGCTTAGGGAGCCGGCACACAATATGATTCCTGTAGGAGAGGGCCCTGATTCGAGGCTCTTTTGCAATTCGTGTTGTTCGGTCATTTCTGTTAACTCGCACGGAAATATTCCGTCCCAGGGGTTTCTTGCCTCCCCGTGTGTTCCTGCGAAACCCCGTTCGGGATTTGAGGGAGCGAAGTCTCTCCACAATGTGTACATTGGTGCCAGGTTTGTTGACCCGTCTCATGATATGGTCATGTCTGCCAAGGGTACCTACATATGCCTGACCTGCGGCTCCCACGCCATCGCCATAAGAGCGGGTCAGAATCTCTTCAAAGAATGCAAGAAGGCCACTTCGTCAGGGTCGGCCTATCTTGCCAAATTCACAAGAGGGGAAGTCTAGCTTCCCTACCTGTCTGCCTCCCTTAATCCAAGGGCAGGCTACCTCTCTTTTTAGACTGACCAACGGTCAACTGCGTGGTCCTCCTCCTCCCTCGCCTCCTCTTCCTCCTCCTCCTCCTCCTCCTCCTCCTCCTCCTCGTATCGCTCTCGCTGGCTGCCGTTGCGGTCACTCTGGCGGACGCGTGGCCGCTCTACTCTTCCGCCGAAGCTTCCTTCGGGTGTTGCCAAGGGCATTCCAGGCCGAAGTGTCCCCAGGACGTCCAGGGAGGCCCCCACGGCCTTCAGACAGCACCCCTCTCAAAGCATGAAGGGCTCCAGAGGCTCCAAGATGTCGCGAAGGGCTTCTGTGAGGCGAGTTCCCCACCTCCTTCTCCTCCTACTCCTCCGCCTCCTCCTCCTCCTCCTCCTCCCCATCCTCCTCCTCCTCCTGAGGACTCCCCATATATTTACGGTCCGCCCCTCCTCCTCGTCCTCCCCCTCCTCCCCCTCCTCCTCCTCCTCCTCCTCCTCCTCCTCCTCCTCCTCCTCCTTCTCTTCGTCCCCCTTGTCCGATGGTCGCCACTCCGCGCACGCCCAGCTACCACCACCAGACGGTCAGGGACAAGGGCCACGGGCGAGGAGACGGCTACGAGGGGTGGGATGAAGGCCTGCTCCGCGAGCGCACGCAGCCGAAGCGGCGACTCTGCCAGCCCTTGCCCTCATCATCTTCGCCCTCCACTCCGGAGAGGAGGAGGAGGAGAAGCAGGAGGACAAGGAGGAGGAGGAGGAGGAGGAGGAGGAGAAAGGCGCAGGAGCCCTTTGCAAGTCCTCTCCTCACAGATTCCTACATCTCCTTCCCACTGAGTGATGCGCCCATTTGAACGTCCAACACCCCATGGGTCTGCCAGTCAGGCGAGAGCCCCGTGCTTTAAAGGAATAAATGTGCATCTTTTTCGGCAGCAATAAGGAATGCGACAAGGCATGCTCATACAGTTCGACGAGGTAACCAGCGACATTCCCGCTTCGAGAAAGAATCGCCCCATCTGTGCAATTGTTCCACTAGTTTATACTTAAGTCGGGCGTGTCCCTCTACAGGAGGAAAATTTAAACGTAGTATGGGGACGGTTGTTCGACCATGTTTGAATAGTATTGAATATGTTTTGTGTGTCTTGTTGCTCGTCCAGCCTGTAGGGGGGCATGCCCGACCCACGTTTATACATACGCCATGGACTTCGAGGAAGGCTCAAACGAGAGCCTCACTTAAAAAAGAAGAAGCCTCCCTTCACCCATGCACCTGCCACATCGGTCCTATAGGTCCAAGCCTCTGGCATTCAAGGTTGAAGGAGCCTTGCGCGAAATAGAAACTTGACCCCCCCCCTCCTTCATCCTCTAATATGCTTCAGCCTGTTCAGGCGAATGTGCGTGGCGCTAAGGTGGTAGCTCAAGTGTTTTTTTGGTTTTGGCTGCTCCATCTTCGAGGCTGCTGCAAACTTCTTAGAAGAACGTAGACGAACGTGGGAGGCGTTACGGCGAGAGCCCCTATGTACCGAAGGGAGCCTCCCTCTGCCCGTGAAGCTGCTGCACACGACGAGTGTGCGCGGCGCTCAGGCGAGAGCCCATGCCCCAGCTGTCTTGTTAGCCTCTTCTCGCGGGTGCTCTTCTTGTTTCTGGCGCTGGCGAAGCCTCAGACGTCTTGGCACCATCGCGCCAACGAGTTGCCCAGCGAATCATCCTCCCGCCTCAGGTCTCGCTTCGCACGCCCCCGCGGCAGCACTTCCCTTGGGGTTCCTATTTTCTGCCCCGTGCTCACCCCCGTCTGGAGCTAACTGCAGCCAGGGCGCTGAGATACAGGACCATGCTTGGCTCAGGAGGGGCTCGGGTTTTCGGGCCGTTCCTTACACGCCCAGGTCGAGGAAACCTTCTGTGGCCGAGCCGCTGCGCGGCCATAGAAAGATACGTCGTTCGTTATCCTGCGTTCTTTGTGGTAGCACGGTGGCTGTGGAGACAAACAACCTCAAAGAGGGATCGTTTGGCCGCGAACCGCTCGACTTGGCTCAGGGTGCCAGGCGGGCAGGCCGCTTTCCGCCCCTCGCACTTTCATCCTCGACCTCCTCGTCCTCCCCCCCTCATTCCTTCCCGTCCTTCCTTCCGCCGCTTCCCCCTCGCCCCCCCCTCGCTGGGCTGACCTAAGCCTTCCCTGGGCCCACCTTGGTCTTTCGCTGGCATCCCTGGACACATTTAGGCCTGCGTGGAAGCAAGGCCCGCGCTAGGCCCAGGCTTTCAACCTTCTTTGCAGGCCGACCGAGGCTTTCCCCGGGCCCACTGTGCCATGCCTGGGCCAACCCGGGCCCTCCCGAGGTATGCCTCGGCCTACCTGGGCCAACCCTCCCCGCCGTCAGGGGCGAGAGCGGGTTCGCAGTCCATCATGGCAGCTTCTGCCAGTGCGGCCGCGCTCCAGCCGTGGAGGTCGACGTCGGCCGGCCCGAGGGCTCGAGGGCTCGGTCACGTCGGCGATGTGTTCTTGGGCCCCGTGCCCGAGCACTCGCCGAGGCGGCAGGGGCGCTCTGGCTGAGGTCGATCCTCCACCATCGGCCGCCCGTGCGCCACCACACCATCCACCAGTAGCCCTCAAGTCGGGCGTGTCCCTCTACAGGAGGAGTGTTCAAACATGGTACAGATAAGATCGTATAGGGGACGATCTTTCGAGCATCTTTCATTCAAAAAGAACAGTTGTTGATTATGTTTGATTTTTCGTCCAAAATCCTCCTGTAGGAGGACATGCCCGACCTGACAGTAGCCCTACCACCTGAAGAGCACCTTCCTCGTGAACGGCCGCTTCCACCGTCAGTGCCAGTGCCAGCCAGCTCTCTGGGGCCAGGCGTGCGCTCTGCGACGGTTGCCCGCGGCGCGGCACTGTGTAGTACGGCACGGAGCAGGACGGCGCGCACCATCAGCACAACGCCGAACGCCACGACGGGATCCAGCAATACAGTTCCATTTCTTTCTTGGGGCAGGACTGCGGGCAGTTATCATCCTTTGGGTGCACCATCTCCGCGACGTTTGAGATCGGCGCCATCCTCATGACGTTTGTCGTCGGGACCGGCTCCGCGACGCTCGGCATCGGCACCAGATCCGTGATGTGTGACATTTGCATCCGTCAGAGGCGGTTGCACTTGAGACGAGGCATCTTTCTGACCTGCCTCCACGCAGGGGTCGCAAAGGAGACGAGCGGGGGACACAGCGACGGAAGCAAAATGACCGACGGTCAGCCTTTGACCATCGAGTCATTGTCCACATTCCCCGTTTGGATACAGCTTCGCACCGCATGCTCATCTGAGTTGATTGTATCACCCGCGTTGCCCCCTGGTCTTGAGGGGTGGCGTCCTCCGCCTTCGAGGCATCAGGGGCGGTTTGCTCACAAGGCTGCCCGTTTCCCTGCACCCCCCCACATGCGGACCCACGTCTTTCTTGAGTCATTGCCTGATCATTATCGTTTCCCTGTTTACTCTTTCTGCCTCCCCCTCTTCCTTCGCTCGTGTGGGTCCGTCGTGCGCGCGCCCTGGGCGAATCCCGAGCTGGTCTACACATTCGCGAGCTTGGCTGCCCTCTCCCCCTCCTCCTCCTCCTCTTCCTCCTCCTCCTCCTGCTCCTCCTCCTTCTCCGCTCCTCCTCGCCCCCCCTCCGCAGCACGCTTACACATGGGGGCCTGGGCCCCGCTGCAGCCTATCCGTCTGAACCCACGAACGAGCTCTCGTTAACGCGGACGATTCAGCGGATCGTGCTCGCCTTTCACCTCTTTAACAAGATGAAGCACGCCTCGCCGACCCCAGCCGCGATAGCTGAAGGGTTGAGCGCCGCCAAAGCCCTGCTCTGGAAGTAGTCGCGTGGTGGACGGACTGGAGCGGACGGACTTCTTGCCCTCGTCTCGCTTATTGTCCGTTTGCCCTCGTCTCTTCCTCTTGGAGTACGTGCACTCCTCCTCCTCCTCCTCCTGCTTCTCCTCCTCTTCCTCCTCCTGCTCCTCTTCCTCCTCCTCCTCCTCCTCCTCCTCTTCCTCCTCTCTCTATCACCTCATGCTGCGTTGGATTGGTTATCTCATACCTGTGTCTAGAGCTCCGACGGCTTTCCTGCGGCACGGCACGGCACCGGCGAGCACCCCACAACTCTCTCCCCTCCCCGCAGCCAGCCCAGCTCCTTCTCGCGCCTCCCACTTCCTCCTCGAGCCGCAGACCCAGCTCCTCCTCGCCCCCCAGCCAGGGCACCGCTCCCTCCGCCCCGACCCCTTCATTCCGGCACGGCACCCGCATCGGCACCGCGCCCCCCTTCCCTTGCCCCCCGCAGCCCACCCCGTTCCTCCTCGCCCCCCAAGCCAGCACGCGCCTTCCGCCCTGACCGCTTTTATGCCGGCACGGCGCGGCACCTGCACCGCGTTCCCTTCCCCCCTTCCCCCCGCAGTCCACATTCTGCTCCTCCTGTTCCTCCTGCTCCTCCTCCTCCTCCTCCTCCTCCTCCTCCTCCTCCTCCTTTTCTCCTCCTCCTCCTCCTCTTCCTCCTCCTCCTCCCCGTCCTCCTCCTTCTCGCCCCTCCGCCGCCAGCCCATCTCCCTTTCGCCCCCCAGCCAGCGCGCCCCCTCCGCCCCCCCTGACCATTTTGTTCTGGCACGTCACGGCACGGCACAGGCACCGCGCCCCCCCCCTCCCCCGCCCCGCAGCCAGCCCCGATTCTCTTCCTGCGCGCCCCCCGCTGCCAGCCGAGCTCCTCCTCGCCTCCAAGCCAGCGTGCCCCTTCGCCTCGACTGCGTTGTCGGCACGGCTTGGCACTGGCACCTCGCTGTCCTCCGTCTCCCCTGTCGTCCTTGTTGGCGTGGCTAGGCCACCCAACAGGGGCTCTTGTCACACAGAGTGTTGTCACCCGTCTGAGCAAGCAATTTTGCCAACCACACTGCCTGCCCACTCTGCTCTGGTGCAAATAATACGAAGCACCCCGCAGTTGCGGATAAAACTGAGGGGGCGGCGAAGACGTCGTCAGTCTGCGATGCTCTGAAGGAGCCCGCCGCAGGCGCCTAACTTTTACAACGTATGCAGTGAGCCCGCCGCAGGCGCCAATGTATTCGCTAAAGCAATGTGGGTGGATCGCGGGGTGGGTCGCGGGTGGGTCGCGGGTGGGCCGCGGGCCGGGTCGCGGATGGGTCGCGGGTGGGTCGCGTATGGGTCGCGGGTGGGTCGCGGGTGTGTCGCGGGGTGGTCGCGGGGGGGGTCGCGGGTGGGTCGCGGGGTGGGTCGCGGGTGGGTCGCGGGGTGGGGTCGCGGGGTGGGTCGCGGCGGGCGCGGGTGGGGGGGTCACGGGCGGGTCACGGGGTGGGTCGCGGGTGGGTCACGGGGTGGGTCGCGGGATGGGTTGCGTGTGGATCGCGGGTGGGTCGCGGGTGGGTCACGGGGTGGGTCGCGGGTGGGTCGCGGGGTGGGTCGCGGGTGGGTCGCGGGTGGGTCGCGGAGTGGGTCGCGGGTGGGTCGCGGGGCGGGGCGCGGGTGGGACGACGATTATAACAAGCAACAAACAACAACAACAACAACAACAACAACAACAACAACAACAACAACAGCATCAGCAACAACAACAACAACAACAACAGCAGCAACAACAACAACAGCGACAACAACAACAAC